TGGACGCTTGTTCTAAGACAAACTATGACTAGCAAGTCAGTCTACATTGACCAGTTCTGCCGGCAATTGACGCTAGCTCACCCGAGTTATTAAAAAGCTCTGTGCTCATCTGATTCCCAGACAATAAAAGCAGAAGGAAGTAGACAAACTGTACCTTTGTGATCAAGTACCTCTCCAACAGTGAAGAGGTGAGATAAGCCCAGGCGTAAAATATTTTAAAGCATGACCTCCTGCTGAAGAGGCCCACCTTTTTAATCCAGCAAGTGTCCCTTTGAGGCCTCTGTAGTCTGGTTGACATCCTTCAGGTGTTGCTCCTGTGCTTAGTGATGGTCTAATGATCGGGCTGGACACTCCTCCTGTCTCAGTCTTTCCACGGTTGGTCCCTAATGAGGACTTGATCTGAGAGTTCAGGTCATAGAGGGCAGACCGCGGCTCAAACATCAGCTGTAACGAAGCCTAAACAGGCAAGAGATAAGAAAAAGGAGAAGAGAAACTATGCGGCCTTGCAAGTCAAGTTCCTTGAGCACAATAGCAGAGATCACCATAAGAAATGTGACATCACTGATACCTGTACAGATTACACAAAGGCCCATTTAAAATTCACCAGCATTTTTATAAGGTATAACAAAATTGGTGAATTTTCCTCAACTTTTTTCCCAGAAGATTTTTTATCGTCATAAGAACTTATCGTCAGTTATTTTGACCTGACTATTTCAATCTCCTGCAACTGACAAATGATGACAATGTCCGTTTTCCCAAAGAAGATACAGGACTCAATTCATACATTGTTTTTACCTTCAGCATAGCTAACAAGCTCTTTTCTTCAAGAACAAAAATCTTCCGTTTGTCTGGTGTTACATTCACATCCACAGACTCTGCAACAAGACACAACAAAGATTACTTCAAATTTTCACCCTAGAATAGAAGAGGAATATACTTCAGCAATAAACAAAAATGAATACATTTTAAACAATTTAAGATTTCCAACAAGTTTCCGACCAACTTTTAATAGTACTTTTCTTTAATTCTGAGCATCTTTTTCTTTCTCTTATAATTCCTGTCAGATCTATTAACTTTAGCTCCCCTGAGATGTATGTAAAATCATATTCAAAATAGAGGATTTGTGACTGTTAAGGATATTGACAAAAATCCATATGTAGTCGAACTACTTTTAGATGGCCTAGCCTTAAACCACAATGTTTGTATCCCCTGAGGGCTGCTTTGCCCAGAATAGGGAAGGTTAAATTTTGGCAGACTTATGCCGAAAGCAATATGAAAACAAAGGAGAAAAAAGAGAAGATCCACCTGAGATTCTATGCTGTTCCGCGCGCTTTCTTTATCAAATCAATTAAAATAAATGATTATTATCAAGAGGATACAAGTCACTGCACTGATGGGCCACGTCTCCGTGGCGTATCCTTAGCTGTGTACTCCTGCCAAATGGACCACCACAGCATCGTGACAATATCAGCACACTGTAGATACACGAAGGAGCATGCAACAACCGACAACCACCACGTCCAAAGTCAGTGAGGACAACGAGAAAGTGTGACTGATGCAGACTGCGCTGCATTTATTTGCCAGAGCATCTGGACAGAATTCTTATGCAAATGATCTGCGGCTTGGTGGAGTCCCTCCATCAATGGGGTCTCTCCACATACATACCACATGAACTTGCTACTGACAATCTGACATAGTCATTTCTATAAGTAGTGCTACTTTTAGCCAGAAAGCTCAGTACCTTTGGCGAGGGAGATATCCAGAACCACAAATGGGTACTGATGACGGTTGTACATGTGATACACCTCGTTCACAAGCTTGGAGACCTGAAGGTGTGGACACAACACTTAATTTGTCAATGGAAAAAAATGGACAAATGAGAGAAATAAACTTTGCGGTGATTGGAAGCGGTAGTCTAAACCCCCAACACGGCAGACATGGGGACCATGACATCATACGCAAACCATGAGTGTAGTCAATGAGTGCTCAGATTGGTTTATGCCATTTACGTCTGCGGCAACTCTAACCCACGATGGGTAACACAATAATGGGTATTCCTGGGCCCCTTTCAACAAGATACAGAGTACTTTACATTATTACTACCCCTGCTCATCATGCTCTTTACTTTGGAGAAGTTGCCCTGTCTCCTGGTTATGTTATAGTCACAACTGTTGGTTGGTCACTCCTTGGGATGTTTCCATGGTTATCTTTACCTTTGCAAAGTCGCATGGTCTCTTGTTGATATAGTAGTACTGTCTGTCAGAACTACTCCGTCCTTGTCCGTGGTCACTCTTGGAAATGTAGCCTGTAAGTCTGAACGATCACATGACAATAAGTTGCCAACAGAGGCAATTTGGCAAGCGGCTGTCATTTCTTCTGATTGTCCAAGCCAGCAGGGGAAATAAAAGGATTTTTGGTCAAATATTTGAAAATATGAATATTCAGCACAAGTTGGATCCACTTTTCAGCCCATTGTAACTTTTCTGAAATCTCCTTTCTGATTCTGTTTAATTATGATAAATTGCAATGAAGGTAAAAAAACTTACAAATGGGACCTATGATAACATTGGCATATAATTTCAGCTAGAAAGATCATCATCACAACATTTTCATAGATCTTTACCACAATCGTTACAATTAACAATGCTGGTTAACGGTTGGCTTATTCTCCATGTAACAACAAAGTTGGAAGTAACTTCACTGTAAAGATCATGGCTTAGCTACTGCTGAACTACAAAATGCGCTTGCTACTAGCACATGATTCTGTGTCACAGTAGTGATTTGACGCTTATGATAAGGAGGGCCTAACATGGGGCCCTAGCATTAACCTGACAATATGAATCCCTTTTCAAATATCTTCAGACAACCTGATTGACAGTAGGAGGGTTTTAACAGGGAAACTAATGTCCTCACTTGAAGAGCTTGTCTTGGAGTTGGTGCTCTGTTATTCCGTATTCTTCACACTGTTCAGCATTTGGAGATGTTTGGGAAAATTCCAGCAAACTTTGAAGCTGTAAAGAAAAGCAGGAACATGTGAACCTTTTTCATTCTTGTAAGTTGTGATTGCTAAAGAATTCAAACTTTGACAAGCTGCAAATTCAAAATTGCATTGTCAACATCCAAACTCCAAGAACTGGGACATTTAATTGCTGTTTGGGCAATTTTGTACTGAGATGTGAGGACTTTCAATGTCCTCGGAACGTTTTTGGTCCCCCTAACTACTCTCGTGTAACACATGCGAGGTCCCAACGACTACAGGAAAGTATTTGGGTTCAACAATGCCTTATGTCTCAGTGAACATGCTAGACAAGAGAAACCGTGTGTAATCTTTTTCCTACTTACCTGCTTTGGTCCAAAAACATTGGCTATGTTCTCTTTCAACAGTGCGTTGCCGCTTGTTGACAGAACCGGAGAGCGTTTTCTGCATACAGGAACAAAGAATGATACAGAATCACATAAATTTGACACAACAGATTAAACTTTATTTGTAAGCAACTGACGGCATTCAGCCACAGATCTTAATCAAACTTACCCCTGATAAAAGTTAGACAGCAATTCTTATCTGATGATTCACATCAACCTGATGATTCACATCAACCTGATGATTCACATCAACCTGATGATAGTGACAACGAACTACCAACCACTTCATCGACAAGAATGACTCTCAAGCTGCTTGAAAAATGCTAAGCGATAGCATATCAACTCAGCGGTACAGTACAACCATCTTGCTAAGGATATTGATAACACTGTCAGACAGACAGCTCCTTTTGAAAATGCTAAGCGAT